TGCTCTCTGGCCCACGCGCGCCCGCTCCAGCCTGCACCCGACCGTGCGCCCGTCGCTGGGGCTACCGTCCCGGGAAGCAAGCGCCGCCGCCCTGCCACCTGGCGCCGGGTGACTGTCTCCCCCTCTGTCCAGGTTTCCCAGGCCCGGCAGGACTATCTAGAGAGCCACATCCAGACCCAGTCCTCGGCCCTGGATAGTTTCGATGCCATGAACTCAGCCTTGGCGTCGGACTCCGTTGGCTTGCAGGTATGCGCCATCGCCGCTGTCACCCAGCAGCCAGGCCCGCGGGCCCATCACTGTCAGCGCAGCGCGGCACGCACGTGCCTTGTGGTCCCAGTAGCCCACGAAGCGCCACCCAGTCACAGACAAGGCAGGCTTAACCTAGAGCGACCTGTAGCTCATGGCAAGTGGCTCCCAAAGGTTGGTGAGCTCTTTTTAATTTAGTAATTATTTTGCCTTAGCAAAAACCCAAGACTATCCTCAGTACCAGAAAGACAGGAAGACCGGGGGAGCCTACACTCAAGAGGATGTGTTGTCAGCCTATTTGTGGGGATTATTCCTCTCATTAATTTTATTGGCTAAGAGCTATCCATTGAGGTAGTTGTTTCTCTTCCAGCGGAGCAGTCCCCTAGGGGCACACAGCTGCATTTGAAGATGTCCCCAGCAGAGCAGTCTGTTCCCTTAAATAGCTCTCCCTGGGCTCATTTTCTAGTATATAAACAATCCTTTCTGACTCCTCCAGCTTCACTTGGTCCTTATTGTCTCACCAGCTTCCTAAAACATACACAAACCATTTTAAATCCTCCCTGGTCCTATAGTCCTATATAAATAATTTAGGACTAAGGAAACGGAGCTCCCTGTTGGGCCTGTTGCCACACCCCTGAACTGGGTATTTTCCAACAGCAGCTGAGGCGGTCGCTATGGCAGGGATGGGGCTCTGCCCCCGCCCAGCAGCAGGCCCTTGTGTTTGGTTGGTCTGCGATGCCCATGTCTGTGTCCTGCATTCTTTGTGTGTGCCACTTTCCCCTGGCCTCAGGCCAAGGCACACTCTGGCTCTGGCTCAGTTAGGAGGAGCCTTTGTTTCGCCCTTCCTCTGGTCCGAAAGCATGCTAACTGAGCCCTTCTTCCTTCCCTCCTGGATGCCCCTCACTCCCAGCCCAGCATGGAGGGCTTGCCTCATCTGAGTTCATACTTGGTTCGTATCTATACTATGTGCTGGTTTTTCTCCCCCATGGAGAAAAATGTTCCAGTGTTTTCTGGAATATTCTTCAGCTTTGCTGTCTGGCCAGCAGTCTGCGCATTTACCACAGGGGTCAGCTGTTAGAACAGAGTCGGCCCTGAGCGAGGACCCTCACTGATTCCTCGAGGTGGTCCAGGCTCTCGGTGCAGGCATCCAAGGGAGCCTGACACTACTGAGCAGGGAAGCCTACGATTGAGTTCTTGAGCTTCTTTTTCGTGCAGACCCTAGCTTCTTCCTTCTGCCCAGTCTACTGCATTTGTCTTTACAAACAGGGCTTTGACTCCACAGAATATGAGCACTAGAAAGAGATGGAGATGGTCTCTTACCATTTTGTTTTATGGGTAAACTGAGGCCAGCAGGCAGCAGGGGCTGGCTGTGGCAGACAAGGACGAGAGCAACTGGTTTGCTGGTCACTGTGGGGCTTTTGCTTACCTTGCCGGAGGGGCTTGGGCAGGGGAGCTGTTTCCAGGCCTCCTGACTGGGTGTTGTAGATGCCCGGGAGGTGGTGCCGTGCCCTGACCCTGTGTGAAGCGGTGAGATGCTGGGGACAGTGGAAGCCATTCTCTAAGGGGCTGACCAACCTGGAAGTGAGGAATAAGCAGCAGCACCATATTGTTAAACAAACTTGTCCCTTTTGGTGGCCTGGGAGATAACCATGGACTCTTGACCCTGGCCAGGCAGGGTCCCAGTCACCAGCTCCATGCTTCGGAGCTTCTTGGTCCCCACCCTTTCATCCTGGGAGCAAGGAGAAGCTTGTGGTAGCTTTGCCGTGTCACTGACCCAGCATGCAGTGGGGAGCACAGTGGTGACAGCCCTTGCAAGAGAACCCTGGGACATTATCATTCTATAAAATTCGTCTTTTTCCGATTCTGATCTAGAGATGTAGCAGGTAGAGGGAGGCGGAAGAAGGAAGACAGTAAAGAGCCATAATTCTATCACACAGTGGAAACCGCCTGTTGGATTTGCTAGTGGGACCGTGCGATGCTGTTGGCACACCTGGCGCTTTCCTTGTGAAGTGTGTAGTTATGCACATTTTCCCTTGGAAAGAGCGTTTTAGCCCATCTCCACCCCCTCAAGCTATAGCACTGCCGGCAGCTGCTGTGGGAGGTTTCAGGGGCGGCTTGCAGGCCCCCAGCCCCAGGGGTGCAGAGCCTTCAGCCACCAAAGGAAGCCACCCCCGCAAGGCTCCAGTCCCTCAGGACGAGGGCCCAGGTAGTGGCAGCAGTGGCGTGACAGGGTTCCAGGGTGTGAGCCTGGCTGTGTGCCGTAGTGCCACTGGCCCTGGCTTGGCTTGATTCTCATCTAAATAGAAAACCCTTGTGGACGTGACTTTGGAAAACAGCAACATCAAGGATCAGATGAGGAATCTGCAGCACACGTATGAGGCGTCCGTGGACAAACTGCGGGAGAAGCAGAGGCAGCTGGAGGCGGCGCAGGTGGAGAACCAGCTGCTGAGGATGAAGGTGAGGCACGCGAGTCCCTGCGTCCTCCCTCCTCCGCCCGCGCCTGCTCTCCCCCACGGTGGGCTGGCCCACTTTCCCTTTCATTGTATCTTCAACCCTCTTGACCAGTCTCATAAGGGCGGCTTGAACTAAAAAGGCTGTTGCTGAGAAGGTCAGAAGTTTATGGGTGGAGTCTCTGCCCCAGCACAGGTGCTTTTGGGGAGCCTGCTCTGTGCTTGTCCTGGCTCTCCTGTCTGTGGGGGGCTGTCACCAGACATCAGGGTGACACAGGGCAGGCCAGTGGCCAAGTCTCGGGCCAGCCAGTCCTCGAGGCTGATGGGTCTTCATCCGACCCAAGGAGCTGGAGAGGTGCTCCCTCCTCTGCCTCTTATTTTGCCTCCAAGATAAAAAAAAAAGCTCCGAGGTTTCAGGTTATTTCATACAACCTGTGTGTGGCACACACAGTCCGCTCTGGGTCATGACAGCCTCGCCTGGGAATTTCCACCCTGTGGTTTCTCGGTGCCACACTGGCCTCGTGATAAGAAGGGGGATTGGAGTGTCAGGGCAGCCTGCCCCTCTTGGGAGCGAGCCTGCTGAGCCCAAGGATGCGCCCCTCAGCCGGAGGCCACACACCCAGCAGCTCAGTGCTTGCCCCGGGGCAGCAGTACTTGGAGGGAGGCCGAGGGTATGAAAGCAGTGGCCGGGCTCCTCGTGGGAGGCCACGGTCGGGACCCACTTCAGCGCTGCCTGCCCACTCGACTGAGCCCTACCAGCGGCCAGCATGGCCCGGTTTGTGGCCCTTCTGGGTTGGAGGCTTCCCGTCCCTTGGGAGGGTACACAGGAAGCAACAGGATGAGGCAGGCTTCTTACTTGAGCCTAACCCACCCCCGACCCTGGTGGAGGATAGGCCAGGGCAGGAATGGTTTGGAGCCCACCCCTGTGCACACCCGTGCCCGAGCGTCCTCACAGCCTGGGCACAGTGGTGCCATGTGCCTTCTGTCTGGCTCCTTCCTCCTCCCTCGCCCTTGCTTTGCATTCCTGCTTCTCGTGGCGACACAGGCCTGGGTGATGTCCACGTGAAGCCAGCCCAGGAGGCAGAGGGTCAGCGTGGGACCCCGCAGGGGGTGGTGCTGCAGTGAGTCTCTCTGCAGGTGGAATCCTCCCAGGAGGCCAACGCTGAGGTCATGAGGGAGATGACCAAGAAGCTGTATGGCCAGTACGAGGAGGAGCTGCGTGAGGAGCGGCGGCGGCACCACGCCGAGAGGGAGGCTCTCCTGGTGCGTAGGGCCATGGCGGCAGTGGTGCGGAGGTGGCGCTCTCCGGGGCTCCAGCGGCTGCCCTCTTCCCTCCTGTGTCCCCTCCTGCCCCGAGCTGGGCCCTTCCTGTGTGCAGCCACCCATCGCGTCCACCCTCTACCCGAATGCCTGCTTCCCCTCTCTGATCCCACCCCAGCTCTCTTCGGAGTAAGCCTGTGAGAAACCCGGGCATTGGGTCCCTCCACACTGTTGATGAATATGGGGGTGTTCTCACACCAGCCTAGTGTTACTTAAGCCGTCAGTCTCCTTTTTGACTTTTAAAGCTTCAAGGTGAAAAAAGGAAAAAAGTAGCCAGGCCCCTAACGGGCCCCTCGAAGGGCCTTCTGGCGTGGGGCTGGACCTAGAAGCTGCATCCGCTGTCTGTGAGAGGCCCTGAGGTCGGAGGTCAGGCTTTGCGGGGCTGGCGGGCCACTCAGGAGGCCTGAGGGAAGTGATGAGCAGCCAGGGCTCGGGCCTGCTGAGAGCGTGTCTGCTTTGCAGGAGGAAACCAACAGTTTTCTGAAGGCAGTTGAAGAGGCTAATAAGAAGATGCAAGCGGCGGAGATCAGCCTCGAGGAGAAAGATCAGAAGATCGGGGAGCTGGACAGGCTCATTGAGCGCATGGAGAAGGTGACATGCGCCGCAGTCTTCCTCCTCGAGCTGAGCTTCTGTGTCCCCCAGTCCCTGCAGGCCTGCCAGGAAGCACGGAAGCCCTCCGTCCTGGTTCTTCTCAGCCTGTTTGCAAGTTTGTTTGTTTTTAAAGCTCCAAAATATGCAGAAGTCTAACAAAGTTCTACTTCTTTCCTTAGCAACTATTCTGATGTTTTGTTGTTTTTTTTTGCGGAACCAGGGGTGAACTTAGGCCCTTGCACTTGCCAGGGAAGCGCTTATTCTACTGAGCCATCTCCCCGGCCCCTCTGATACTTTGAAAAGAAATATTCCCTAGGAAATTCTTCATAAAATCCCCACACTTTGGCAGCCTCACTTTGCCCATGCAATGGGCTTGCCATAGAGTAACCAGGCCCAGTTGGGTTTCCTCAGAAGCGAGAGGCAGGCACCCAAGGGAGGGGGTGATAAGTCCAGTGTAGACAAGGGAGGGGGCTGAAACCAGGCAGGAAGTGAGGAAAGAAAGAAGGCAGGAGAGGGAGGCGAACAGGAAGGGTGGTGCCGCTGTTCAGCCGCTGACACCTGCGTCCTGGGCGAGATCCCAGAGTTCAAGGCCCCAGCCTGGGTCTGAGAAACAGCTCTCTAGTTAGACAGAGGTGAGCTGTGGGAACCAGGACATTGCCAGCTTGCTGTGACTCCCAGTGTCTGCCCAGGGTCCCTCTGTGCCCAAGCCCCCAGGGTTCCGACCAGTGTGGGAACCCTAATAGGCTCCCCACGCAGAGCTTCTGGGTCCCTGGGCCCCTCCGCAGCAAGTGTCCTTGTTTGGGGTTGCAGTCTCCCTCTATCCCTGAGAACAGAGCCCACCTTCTACTGAGGCGAGGCGGCAGCCCCTTTAGCGCTGGCAGGGCATGGACTGGAGGTGGTGCTGGAGACCGAGGGAAATTCCCACAGTTAAGGCCAGCGCTGTCTCTGGGCGGCCGGGGCGGCAGGGGCGGCATCTTCCAGAGTCTGGGCTGTGGCCAGGCAGAGCTTAGCATCAGCAGACCCGGCTTTGGTCTCGCCTTGCTTCCTAGTGAGCAGTTAGCTCACATTCCCAAGCCCAGTTGTCTCTCCTGTGAAATGCTGACAATGCTCACCCTTATCCTGACGGCTTCTATGAGAAGTAACTGAGACGCTCACACGGGCACTAGCCTCTGGCCTGGCCCCGGGTGAAGGGCTCAGTCCTGTCCAAGCCCTGATTTTCATTTTGTTACAGGCTTGCGGGAACACCTACCCTGTAGCTAGCTTTTATAACTGACCTTCTTTGTGCCCCTGGAGGTGTGGAACTTCTAGTGTCCCTCCCAGCTCCGTGTGGGGTCTGAGTCGAGGGAGACCCAGGAGGCGGTGACTCAGACTCCCCGCTAGCATTGGGGGCACAGGCAGTTCCTTCCACTGTGATGACCTTTTCTCCCTTGGTCAAACTTTTGTCCCATCTCTACGTCTCTCTTTCCAGCTAGGCTGGCGAATCTCTTCTTTGTTCTTTTCACAGCACTGGCAGTTGAGCCCAGGGCCCTCATAGTAAGCTGCCACCCCAATTCTTGAGTTTCGCCTCGAGTCTGGGTCTTGCTAAATTGCTCAGTTACCCAGGCTGCGCTCCATGTGCCACCTTCCTGCCTCAGCCTCCGAGAGTGCTGGGATTGCAGGTGTGCTCTACCTGGCCTGGCTGAGAACTTCCTGTGTTTCGCTAGGGTTAGGCTGCACCCTTCATCTTCAGGGATAATCTATGCAAGCAGGTTCTGGCCAGACCTCTGTCCCACTCCAGGCACAGTGTTTGTACCTCATTGTCCTTTATTTCTGGATTTTGTATGAAGCCAGACGTGCTTTTGAGTGACTTCCCCGCTGCATGCTTCAGTTTACTGAGAACCTCTATGTTGTCAGTGGAAATCCCCTAAGGAGTGCCCTTTCTGGGGCTTTGGGGCAGCAGGTGGTCGCCTGTCCTGGGCCTGCGTGGCTGCACAGGCATGTGTAAAGGGATGGAATGGTTGTGCGATACACACTCAGGACTTGTTGCACTTTTATTTTTATTTTAAAGAGTAAATTTTAAAATGTGCCGCAGTGCGACCTTGAGCTGCCTGTGACACTTGGGGGGAGGGGGGCACCCACCTGTGCGAGCTGCACGCTCGGCTCGGGGTCAGTGGAGCTTCGTCCCGTGCACATGCGCGGGCAGGAGGGGCTCTCTGCCAGGCCAGGCTGTGAGGCTGTGTGTCTGCTGCAGAGATTTTTGAAACAGTACCCAATCCCAAATCAGGGTCTTCCCTAATCTCCCTGTTCCCCATCGCAGTGGCCCCCCTGCTGTGCCCCAGGCGCCCCTCGGCAGCTTTGGAAATTGTAGGAGTTAAGTTTTCAGAGATTTGCTTTTAATAGGTTGTTGGAAAAGGAGTTTGGAATCTATGTATTTTGTAAAGGTTTGCTGCAGTCTGGGGAAATCACTCAAAATCACTCATAACTGATTTGTGAGAGTGGGTGCACTGTATAAGTACCACAGAACATTATCAGAATTTCAGAGCCTTTTGTTTTTGATGACTTAGGTAATAGTCAAGAATTTTACAAGGTCACAAGCTACTGACTTCCTGCCTTGGCTGTTGTTATTTATTTTTAGTATTTTAGGAAGGGTCTCCAGGTTGTTCAGGATCTCACTACTAGATCAGACTCATAGTGATCTGCCTGTTTACAGCCTCCCAAAAGCTGGGATTACAGGGTGCACCACCACACCCAGTCTCAATTGCAGTCTCAGCGTGCCCAGGAGGTGGGTCCGGCATGGCAGGCCTGAGGATTGAACCCCCAGCCCCTGTGCCTGCTTGCAGGCGCTTTAATCCACTGAGCTATTTGGCCGGCCCTGGCTGTCGCTATTTAGATGGTATATTTTCAGAAGACACCTGGGTGTGGGGTGATGCAGTACTACTTAGCAAATCTACAGTGTGGTTTTACCCGAGGTGTTTGATGCTACCCATAAACGCACCTGCACCCGCCCAGCAGCACATCTGCTCAGGTTCTGGGAGAGGGCCGGGTGTACAGCTGAGGGTGCTGCGTGGCCTGGGCCTCTCGCGCAGCAGGACTGCCAGGTCCGGGGCTCCCTGCACAGTTTAGTCGGGGTCCCCTCTGCACTCACCCGCCGTATCTGGCTGTTTCAGGAGCGGCACCAGCTGCAACTCCAGCTTCTGGAGCATGAGACGGAAATGTCTGGGGAGATCCCTGCGGCTGACAAGGAGAGGTAGGGTGCAGGCCTCTGCCTGGCAGGGCGTGCAGGGGTGGGCTGCCCTGGGGCCGAGGGCCCTGTGCCTTGTGTTAGGATCCTAGCCAGGGCGACTCTGGCCCCAGAGCCTCAGGGTGGGGCAGGCTGCTGTGTGCTGGCTGCACCCTGCGCTGCCTGGGCGTCTTCCTGGCTCGGGAGGTGGCCAGTTCTGTGGCCAGTGGCGAAGTCCGGTCTGAGCTCTCTGTAACCTTCAGCGCCACAGCATGCACCTTGGGAGCTGCAAAAATGCTTCAGCTGTGGTTCCTAACATTTGTCCTGGAAAACAACGGAAAAGAACTTGGTTTGCCTCCAAACCTTGCACTTAGCTATGAGGATACAAAACCCTAGTTAGAAAGTGTGAGAATAGTAAACTAGCTCTTCTGGGAAGGAAGCAGCTGAGGAGCCAGCGTTCGCGGGTGAAGCTGGAGGGCTGGAGTCACTGGGGCTCCCGAGCTCGTGCCCCTGTGGGATTTGGGGCTTCCAGGGCAGTGGGAGTCTCTGCAGGTGTGCATGTTGGTGCTGGGGGCAGAGCTGGGAGAGCTCCAGGCCCGGGGCGTACCTCAGTGGCGCGGCACGGCACGGCAAGTGCGAGGCCGAGTTTGATTCTCGTACCGAAAGAAAGAAAAAAAGAAAGAAAGAAAGAAAGAAAGAAAGAAAGAAAGAAAGAAAGAAAGAAAGAAAGAAAGGAAAAGAGCTCCAGGCCCTTCCCGAGCTGGACAGTGGAAGAACCCCCTGTTGGGTCCCCAGCACAGTCCCGGAAGCACGGAGGTGCTTCTGGCGAACGGAGCGCTGACCATCCCGTGGCACGGCGCTGCAGCCTCTCCGCCGCTCCTGTGCATCTGAAGCACGTGACGCCCTGGCAGCTGTGACTCCAGGCTTCCCGAGAGCCTGGCACTGGCTTTCAGATGCTCTGCTGAGCCGCTAGTCTCCTGCTCCTCTGTTCTCCTCATAGTCCCCAGCTAGATCTTCTAATCAGCCAGTGACCCAGGAGAGAGAGAGAGAGGGAGAGGGAGAGGGAGAGAGAGAGAGAGAGAGAGGAAAGAGGAGAGAGGGAGAGACAGGAGAGGGGAGAGAGGGAGAGAGACAGAGGAGAGGGGAGATGAGAGGGGAGAGGGGAGAGGAGAGACAGGAGAAAGGAGAGGAGAGAGGAGAGACGGAAGAGGAGAGAGAGGAGAGGAGAGGGGAGAGGGGAGGAGAGAAGGGGAGAGAAGAAGAGGGGAGGGGAGGAGAGGGAGCGAAGAGGAGAGGGGGAAAGGAGAGGAGAGGGATTTGCATACTTACAAATGGGAAGTACATTCCCTCTGTGGCCCTGGAAGGCACAGCAGCTGTCCTTCTGCAGGGTAAAACTCACGCGTGGTGGGGAGAGACCTTGCCAGAGTAGACTCAACTTGGTGTGCCGCATCACTGTGCACGGGAAGCACAGCGCGTTTGCCGCTCCATCCCCGGGCCTTGGCAGTGCTCCTGGAGGCTGCGCCCTTGGCTGGTGCGGGTCCTGGGCGCGGGTCCTGGCAGCCCGACGCAGCTGCCTTTCTCTCCCGGCCAGGTATCGGCAGCTGGAGGAAGCCTCAGCCAGCCTCCGAGAGCGGATCCGACACCTGGACGACATGGTGCACTGCCAGCAGAAGAAAGTCAAGCAGATGGTGGAGGAGGTAGGTGCTGGCGCGGCTGCCCGCGGGACCTCAGCCTGAGCGTGCCCACGCTGCCCGCTTCCCTGCGGCCCGCAAGCGAGCTTGCCCAGGCCATGGCCTTAGGCTCAAGGCGGACCTTCCCATAAGTGGCGCTTCTAGTCTCCGGAGGGTGTGCAGCTCGCGGGTGCGGCCTCTCTCAGGGCTGCTGCCTGGGGAACAAGTGCTCAGGGCGCGACGGGGGACAAGAGAGGCGCCGGCCTCGGGTGTCTGCGCTGCCGCCGCCCTGCCTGCCACGCACCGTTGCTGCCCGGGGCTTGGCCTTTCTGGTGCGTTTGCCACGCTGCCCCCTTTGTCCTCTTTCCTGCCCGCCTTTCTCGCCTCTCTGGTCTCTTCCTCCTCCTTTCTTTGGGGCGGGGGATATAGCTCAGGAGAAGAAGCGCTTGCCTGCCCCATCCGTTGCTTCAGTGTGCGCATGAAATAAAGCTGTGCCCTGCGGTGAGTCCCGCTTCGGACTTTTTTCTAGCAGGTATGTCGAGCGTTTGTGTTTCTCTAACAGGTAAAAGCAAAAGCATCGACGGCCCCCAGTCCTCTGCTCTCCACTCTCCGCTCTCCGCTCTCCCCCCTCCTCTCTCTCTCTCTCTCTCTCTCTCTCTCTCTCTCTCTCTCTCTCATGCGCCGTGACCAAACTAGTCACATATTATATAGGTTTTGTTGCTCAGTAAAAAAAAAAATCCAAGAGAGCTGGGCATGGTGGTGCTATAATCCCACATTCAGGAGGCTGAGGCAGGAGAATTGCTGTGAGTTTCAGGCCAGCCGAGGCTATAAAGTGAGTTCATAGTGAAAAGCATATCCTGAAATACATAGTGAAGTCCTACCTCAAAGACCAGGAAAAAAAAAAAACAGCCATTAAAAATCTGATAGAAAATAATACTACTAACAGGTTTGTCAGAATTCCTTTCTCTAAATTGCAAAGGATATGGCATCCATTTTATTAAACATTGCCAGTGGACAATGAAAAAGGCATTTTCCTTGTACTGCGTACCACTCTAGGATATTTACTTCATCAATAAATGATTATAATCCAAAGTATGTCTACATTAATAAATAATTCATACTTGTAAAATACAAAATGATAAAGGCTAATTAATTACACCTGTAATCCCAGCGCTCCAGCGGGCTGAGGCAGGAGATTGCATGCTGGAGCCAAGCCTTGGCAATTGTGACTTGGTGAGCCATAGCTCACTTGCCTCAAAATTAACAATGAAAAAGGGTTGAGAGTGTTGCTCCGTGGATCCAGTCCCTCATAACACACGCACATGTACACGTGTGCACACACGCAGCACTCTTTCACTAACCATACAGCATGTTGGGGATGTGAGTGTCGCACTGTTAGGGACGGGGAGTGGTGAGGGCAGGGACCCTTTTATGCTGGGCGCAGGGTGAGAGGACGCAGGTAAATGTCTCGTCCCCACAGGGGAAGCCCAGCCGCACTGGGGGGAGCTGTCCATGGCTCCCAGGGACTCAGTGGGGCGGGCTCACACCTGGCTGTGCCGTGTGCCCCCAGGCAGGAGCAGCACCCTCGGTGGGTGTGGGGGTGCTGCCCCTCCCCGGCCCTCTGTGCCATCGGGAGCTTTTCCGGAGGGATAGCGGCTCCGGCTCAGCGTCGTGAGCTGCAGCCGGAGCTTCTGCTTTGGAGCGTCTCATCTGGGGCCTGGGCACCTCGGTTTCCTTGTGGGCTTCGTAACCTGGGCCTGCACTTCTGCCACTGCACTTCTGGGAAGCGAACACTGTGCTCGTGCCTAACACTAGAGGACCAGTGGCTCGAACCTCACACAGATTGCCTGGAAGGATTCAAGGCTGGTACAGAACTTGGGGACACTGTCTTTAAAAAGCCACTTTCAGCGAGGTGAACCCCTATAATCCGAGTGCTCAGGAGGCTGAAACAGGAGGATCGCTGCAAGTTCAAGGCCAGCCTGGGCTACACAGTGAGTTCAAAGCTAGCCTGGTCTATAGAAGGAGACCCCGTCTCAAAAACGCAAGAGCGACAGAAAGACATTTTGAGATGCTCAGAAGTCTGTGTTTGACATCCCACTTCCATAATATAAGGAACTGGGAGCAAGTGGGGGGAACACACACTCTCACACGTGTGCGTGCACGCGCCCGCACAGCTCTCTGTCTCTTGCTACTGGGGGTGTCGCTCCAGGGCTACCACCCCCAGGGCACTACAATCCTCCGGTGCCAAGTCTCTCACGGAAGGGCACAGCACCTGCACTTCGCCTGTGCAGTTCTCTCATAGGCTGCATCTAAACTGCCTCGAGACCGCTTGTGATAGCTAATGCAGCGTGAATGCTGTAAACAGCACGCGGAGTTGTCTAAGGACCGATGACAAGTGGAATGTCTGCACGTCTAAGTGCTTGGATCAGAGGCTGGATGGCTTCTCAGGTGTGCAGCCCATGGACAGAGGCCCGCTCTGCGGTGTGAGGGCGTGGTGGGCGCTTAGCCTCCTGCCTCCTGTGAGCTCAGCTGAGATCTGGGGGCGCTGGCTGCGAGGCCCGGGCTCAGCTGCACCCAGGGGCTCGCTGGGCTTCAGCAGTGAATGGAGACATTAAGTTGTAAAGAGGCTTTTTACTCTGAGTATGAAGGATCTCAATCGTTCCGTTAAAATGATGTTTGTCTGCATTCTCTGTTACCTTCTACAACCAAAGGATGGTTTTGAAATAGCTCAGAGGTTGTAGACATTCATGGGAATGTGTTGTTTTAAAATGACAAACATGGGTAAGGGACACAGCCAGGCGGTTTACTCAGCACAGGAGCAGGCCGGCCTGGGGAAGGTCCCTGGTGACTCAGGAACATGACAGGATGGCAGGGCGTGGCCAAGGCAGGAAACAAGGTCTGAGTGCACCTCACGGACAACCAGCTTGTACAAGAGGGAGAATGTTTTTATGCCATGTTGTGGTGCGAGGCCACACCAGAGCCACTGGGTTCATGGCACTTTCAAAGAAGAAGATTTCAGCCGCTTGCTTGAAATTTAGGAAACATTTCCAACATTGGCCTCCCCAAAGGGTCGGTAGGCTTCATTCCGGGTGTGTCCAGCTAGACGCTGGCTAGGATTCCTCCACAACTCTGCACTCCATGAGCTGAGTGACCCATGGAGGGAGCCCGACAGCGTCGGGTGAAGATGCCTCTCATTGGCTGGCTGTGCCTCTTCCTGCGACCTCAGCAGTGTCCTGACTTTGCATAATGAGCAGGGTCAGTGAACTTGGGCCCGGTTCTGAGAAGTCCAGACTACGAACTGATCTCTGTGGAACCTGGGAATCCACACTAGAAGTCTGTTTTTATCTGTGGGCATCTGTCTACTCTCCAGAGAGAGGCAAACTTGACCTGGCACAGAGGCTGCTGGTAGGTGTGGCGGGCCTTAAGGACAGCTCCCTCCTGTGGCAGGAGGTCTATGACACTGTCTTACCTCCACCCTGATACGACTCCAGATTCCACTCCTGGTGGGGTATTTGGGCAACAATATCTGTGAAGAAATGTTCCTTGTTAAAATGATGGACGGCCAGGCAGCAGCCTGAGGCGCTTACAGACCTCAGGTGGTCAGGACTGTGTTTTTCCCACCTCAGTGAAACATCACTTTGCAAGGACAGCAACAACAGCGGTAACCTAAACAGCAAGTGACTGGCCCAGGGTTTTGTGGTCCTAGCTCCGTGGCCATCTGATTTCCACCGTGTGGAAAGATGAGGACTTGTGCTGTGTCCACAGGGCTCATGGTGGGAATGGGCCCTTTTGAAACAAAGACGTGGTCCGCCTCTTACCAGGTCAGGCTCACCAAGTGCTGAATGCAGTCTTTAGTCATGGACAGCAGGGCCTGGCCTGCTCCTCCCAACCCTGTTTTCCAGCTGCCTCCAGCTCCTATAGAAATAATGAATAAACAAAACAACAGGCCAGGGAGATGGCTCAGTAGAATAAGTGCTTCCCTGACAAGCGCAAGGGCCTGACTTCAATTCCAGGTTCCACAAAAAAAAAAAAAAAAAAAAAAAAAGCTCCACATGTGCCCCTTTTAGACATTTAAAGTTTTCTAGAAAGTAGTATGTAGAGAAATACCAAGGGACTGGGGAAAAACAGCACTTGAGGAGGAGCTCTTGCCTGTCTACCGCCTGCCCTGCCCGGCCTGGCCGGGCACGTGGCGAGCTGCGTGCCTGCTCTTGCTGTGCTGCCCTCAGGCTTTGCGCATTGTGTGAACAAGCCCTGCTGGGGTTCGTGCTTTGTCCTGAACAGGCTGCATCTGTTAGGTTGCCAGGAAAGGCCCCGGGAAAGCTGGGGTAGCCGGGGTCCCACGCACAAGCTCATCCATATACAAGGTCATCCAGCCTCCTTGGCTCTCCCTGAGGTCCAGCCTGCTGCCTGACTGCAAGGAGAGGGGACCTGAGGAGACAGCAGAGTCTCCAGAGGGCAGGGTTACACTTTGCTAGTGGGCAACGATATTATTCAGCTGGATAAGCAGCGATTTACGCCCAGCCCCACATTTCATCTTATTTTTCTTCTCATTTTCCAGTACTCACTATGCCTTGGGGAGATGTTAGCGATGTGGTGAATGTTTCCTCCCACAGGGGTTGGTTTGTTCCTCCACCCCTCCAGTCAGGGCAGCGAGGCTCCCTGGCTGGCTCCACCTTGGTGCGCTCGGCTGCCTCCCTTGAAGCCTCTGCATGCACAGGGAAGCTGTGGTAAACTTGCAGGAGAGGTCCTGCAGACCAGACCAGGGAGAGGAGCACTGAGGGGAAGGCACATCCACGCCTGGGACTCGGCGTCCTTGAGGACCCCACACAGCTCAGTCCTGACGCTGCCCTGATCCGTGGCATCCAGCCTGTAGATGCTTCCAGACCGTGTGTGGATAGAGGGAGGCGTTACTGGGGAAGAGGAGCAGGAGGAGGAGCACTTGTTAGGCGGGGACAGAGCCCACCCTGTGTCATGCCCTGTGAGTCAGGGACTTCCCCCAGCAGGCTGGAGCCCTCTGCTTGCTGGGCATTGCGCGCGGATCTGCCCTCGCCCTGGCTTCACAGTCCCCTTCTGTTGATGCAGAAGACCTGCAGCAGGCCTCCTGGAGTGGTCACAGATGGGCAAAGAGCGTTGGTGAAGTAACATTCACAGCAGCCACTTCTGGAGTAAGGGACAAAGCAGAACCCCTGCAGTTCCTTTGATGCAGTGGGCAGCTGTCTGCTTCTCCCTCTAGCCCGTGTCAGAGGGATGATGATGGCATGGTACCTCACTATGCCTTGGGAGATGAGTGCACCAGGGCACAGGTGACCGGGGGCTCCTCAGAGTCAGGGCTTCGAGTTTCTGGGCTTCTGTCCCCTACACTGCAGGCCTCAGGTCTGCATGCACCCCTGCATCCAGAGAGCTGGCCCCAAGAATAACTGAGCATGAACTGCAGAGTCAAGCCCACCTAAATTTCCTAGTTGAGGGCATTTTGGAAAGTCACTCATTTAATTATCTGCAAAATGAGAATAACAAGAGTACAGGATAAAGAGGGTTTTGATAGGAGTTAAAGATATATAATAATATGGTAATACTATAGTAATGGAATATGGTAAATACACATTAAATCCTAGCTGTCCACTAATGGGTAAACACACCTGAAGTAAAGGGAAGGGACTTTTAGCAGGAATAGCTGGGTGCTGTCCTGACTAATACAGAAGGCCATCACTTCCCCTAGGAGCCTGCGGGTTGTTTTGTTGTCTTTCTGTGCTCTGTAACCATCAGATTCTTCTCCTCCTCTTCCTTCTCCTCCTCCTCCCCCTCCTCCCCTCTCCCCCCACTTCTTCTGGTACTAGGAATTGAACTCACAACCTCATGCTTGCCAGGCAGGGGCTATGCCACTGAACTCCATCCCCAGCCCATCAGACTCTTAAGTAGAACACTGACAGAGAAAGCAAAGATAAAATTTTAATTTAAAATTTTTCCCCTCCCCCAAATCTCCCATCGCAACTGCCTCTTCTATTTGCTGGGACAGGGTTCATCTGTAAAACCTTGGTGTACAGAAATGTAAAACCCGGAGGAGTAGCCTTTGGCTGGCTGCCTGTGCAGAGAGCCGCGTGGGGGCGGGGAGGTGCGGGCCTCGTGCGCAGCCCTAATTCCCTCGATTGAACCCTCCAGATCATGTCGCACGAGCTCTTCTCCAGACTTAGTCTCCGGCTCTTTGGAAGATGATGGCCTGGCCGTCTGCTGGGGGTAGAAGAGGTTCTTTTCACCGACCGTGACTGGGGAGCAGGTGGTACTGAGGAACAAGATGGGACGACCTGGCCATGCGGGCCCTCTGTGGTGAGGACACCACACACGGTAGCCTCAACTTGGACAGCCTCACAAAGCTGAGTCAGGAAAACAGAAAAATCCGCAGAGCATATTTAGAAACTTGAGTTCCTAGACCTCCAAGAAAGTCCTGTACTGAAAAATTATTCCTAAAAGTCATCCGGAAAGTAAGTGGAGCCTGGCCTAACGCCCTGAAAGTCGAGCCCTGCCTTATAGGAAGGCTGCCAAGGACTTCTTCTGGGGGAAGGTGGCACAGAGCGCGAAGGACCCACACGCCCGCAGGAAGAGCTCTGTCCTGGACCGCACCCACGCCCTGCATAAGCAGCCTGGCATCCACGCAGTGTGACAAAGTGTGCTTCTGGGAGGTGGCCCTGAGACTTTCCTTTCTGCATGGCTGTCAACACCACTGGCCAACGTCTTGCTCATCTTAAGTGGCTTGGCCCGCTTCTGTCACTGAATGGACAACTCAGCCAAGAAAAAGAGAAGTCTGTCTGCTAGAATGCCGTCTGGGCCCCACACTCCATGCATCTGTTTTGGTAGAGGTTTTGCTCGACAGCCACACATGCTGGTATTTCTCCAGAAATGCACCCAGTGAGAGGTACAGGGGCAGCGGTCTAGTCAAGGGTGGCACTGGCCCTCAAGCCAGTGGGCTGGGCTGTCGGCGTGAATTCCTGGAGGCAGGGTCCCTGGGCCAGGGCCTCCTTCTCCTCTCCCACCGCATGTCCATGGCAAGGGGCTATGTGGGTACCTTCCTGCTGAGATTTGCCTCTGGTCTGCATTTTGGTGCTTCTGCCCAGCTTAGGCCAAAAGGGCGAGGGAAGGGGAGGAAGTGATGCACAATCTGCATTCGCAGGTGGCCATTTTGGCGGGCACGGTGCTCAGTTCAAATGCAGACCCTGCACGCGCTGCGGGGTCTGCAGGGGGCTTGCGTCACCGTGGGAAATTACTCCTGCAGACCTTATCCTGCACCGTTTCTGGGGGCTCCTTTACTGCTCTGGCATGTTTCTGAGTCTCTGGTGGAAATGTCTCTGGCATTTGTTCTGGTGGAACAGACTTGTTACCATTTCTGAAAGTGGAATAACGTGAATTTAGGGACTGCTGCGGCCTTCTGAGGAGTGGGCCATTGGTGTGAGTCAGCGGGGTGGCAGGCTTCTTCCGTCCTGGAGTCTTCTTCTTGGCTTCGGACAGCCTACGGCCTGAGGAGCCTGGTTAATGCGGCAGATGGGGAGCAAAGCACCCAGAGGGCAACACCCGCCTTAGCGCCTCCTGCTGCTCTGTGCTCACACTGCATGTGCCTTCTTCGCCCCAGCCTCAGGGTCTGACTTCCTGGAGATCTCGAGCCTGCCTCCCCTACCCCACAGGACCCATCTCCATCTGCTCTGCTCTGCCTCTGCGGGTGAGCCTCGCTGACCTCTTTCCTGCCTACACGGTGGCATTTCTGTTAACTGGATGTACTGCCAGCCGGGCCTCAGTTCAGTGTTTAAGTCCTGCCCCACCTCCCCACCCACCCCTCCTCCCTCACCCTGCCCTTCACTGGACCCCAGCGCCCCCCAGAGGAGATGCTCTGCAAGGGTTTCAGGCAGAATTTGTGACAGTCCATCCAAGCGTAGGGTCTCGGGGCCTAGTGGTTAACATGCATCAGTTACTTCTTTACTGCCTGAATTCTTTAGAAGGCATCTGGGAGAACACAGTGGTGTCCACCCTCCCCGGCAATCTACTGCAGGCATGCCCACGGCAGGAATTGGTGGGCACATTTTCCCGCAAACTGTCCTTTCTAGGAGAAGGTCTCTTTGCAGCAGTGTCACTGAACCCACGTTCTCTTTGTAGAAATGGCCTCTGGTTGGCCGTGAGCATTTTCCCAGAGAGCAGGTGCAAATTTCTGCCCCTAGAAAACATACAAGGCTGCACAGTTGGTGTCCGAAGCCTCGCCAACAGCAGAGTAGCCTCTGCCCTCAGGCTGTGGAGACAGACCCCGTCCTGCCCTGTTCACCTCCACCGAGGCATGACTCGCCCAGTTACAAATGAGGTTTAGAGTCAGAAAATATCAGTAGCCAGCAGTATCTCAGCAAATCGTCAAGGCTCTGGTCTACACCCAGATCTTTGAGTCCAAAGCCAGGCTTTGTCATTTCTTAGTTTTTAACTATGAAAGGAAATTAAAGTACAGGAAATTATAGAGTACAACAAAAAACACAACCTGTCTCCTCCACTGCCTTTTGCAAATAACATATTACAGGCAAAGACAAAGCTGTCCTGTCTTTCTCCTGCCCAGCTCTCCCCTCCTCCTGCCATCCCACACGTCTATCACAGAGATGCAGGCCTCGTATTAGTACCCAGCCTAGTGTGTGTCTAAAAATTTACACAAATTTTAATTTATAATTTAAATAACAAGTAGCATTGTCAACATTTTTTCCTAAGTGTTTAATATTACAGATTAAATTCTTCGTTTCAGTAATAAGTGTACTGTGTTTGATACATTACAATCTGCTTGTCCTGTAGTTACAGGTTTAATTTTCAAAGTCTTATTTTCCCACAACAGAGGGAAACCTGTCTGTATGTGTCTTTCACTAACAAGCACACATGGGGGGCGCTGCCAGGAGGTGGCTGATGTAGGGTCGGGGTCACTGGGCGCAGCTGGTGCTCTGCTGTGCACAACGCTGCCCGTCGCGTTGGGTACAGCAGAGCTTTGCAGACATTCACCACCACATGGCCCTCGATGCACTATAATTTTGGCCAGTCATGAAATTGAATCTCATTCTTTACATTTTGATTTGCATCAGTCTGATTTCTACCCATTACCAGTGGTGAGAACGAATGACTTCTCATGAGGTCACTGGACACTTCAGTGTCCTTCTTTATGAATTTGTGTTCCTATCCCTTGTACATTTTGATAGGAGGTTTTTGTCTTTCTTCCTGCTCATTTGTATGGACTCTGCAGATTATTCATATAATCATCAAAAAAAAAAAATTGTCCGGCATTGCTGTCTCCTATGCAGAAGTGTTTGTTGTTTCTCTTGTATAATTTTTAAATTTCTGTGGTGCTAACAGTTGTCAGCGTTTCTGTGCTGTGCTGTGTGCCTTATTTGTCATAAACATATCTTCTGTAATAGTTTTAAAATTTTCTTTTCCTTTAGATTTTTAGTTACCACCCGCATGTCTGCCCTCCATCACTCCCATATCTTTTTTCTGCGTAGCACTGATCACTTCACCTTTTTTCCTGTTTGTTATCTCTTTTTCCCTCCAGTAGAATGTAAATTCCAGGAGGCAGGGATTTTCTTCTGTTTATGACTGTACCCCTAACACTTGGAATGGTCACTGGTATATAGTAGATGCTCAATAAATAGTTTTGGACAAATAAAGAACAAACCATGTGGAATTTAATTTTCGTGTATTGTATGAGTAAGGCTCCTTTGGGGACTGGTGCATGGAAATCTTGTTTCTCCAGTGCCATTGCCCACTAGTTTTTTCATGTCACCTTTGCCAACCTGCTGTTCTTTCCCCTTTGCCACACTGAGGCATGAGATTGGGGCATGGCACACTGGCTGAGGAAGCAGGCGTGACCTCTTCATTGCACAGTTCCAGCACACATGCACAGAGCACGTCTTAAAGTTTGATACATAGACTTCCCTAGTCTAGTCCAGAAGTCAGCTTGAGGAGTGGGAGACAGAAAAGGACCTTTGCTGTTGAGCTCTTGTCCACCATGCTCTCGCTCAGTGCCCCACTCTGGCGCTGCAGAGGGGACTTCTTTTCCTACTTTTACTTCGCCCAGTCTTGCTCTGCAGAGCTCTTTCTTCTCCTGCCTTTAATAAATGTGAAGCCTCACTACCATTTGCACTTGTCTTGACCAGTTCTTTGCTCATGACGGAATCTCTGCACCATCTCTCTGAAAGACTTCAGTGCCCCAGAACCCAGTAACAGTTTCTGGGACTATTGCTGACCTCCTGCCCCTGGGCAGTCCTTGTGAGTCGGGATGTGTGTGTGCGCGCGTGCGCTGTAGCCAGGTACCACATATGGGAAGCTCATCTCTGCTGACACAGGATATGTATAAGAAATGCCTTTTGTGAAATAAGAGTTTTTCTCTCAGGAATCTCTGACTGACACTTAAATGCATCAGAACATGAGGCAGAATGTGATTGGAGGTGAGCTGTGTGTGCTGGGAACACACAAATATCAACCATGGTGACTAAGATCCTTTGCAGAAGGGCTCACAGTTAGCCTTCCTCCCAGCGCGGCCCCACTCCTGACTGCCGGCCTCACTCCTGACTGCCGGCCTCACTGCTCACTTCTGGTCTCATTCCTGACTTCCAGGGTAGCACTGCAGCTGTGGTGTCCTCTCAGGGAAGTGCAGGAATGTCGGACAGGCTCAGAGTACACAAAATACGCCTTTGTATTTCCCTTCTGGGTCTGTGCATTGTGAGCAAATCACAGCTCTTTTCCGTGATTCTGATTCCTCACCAATAGCCTGACAACGTTCCCAGTTGTCCCTCCACAGAAGTGGAGGTGAGGACCTGCCCACGGCATGTGCACTGAGCGCCTGTTAGCACAGAGCCCAGGCCCGTGAACGGACTCTGGCATGGGCAGAGAGTCCAGGGAGGCGGGAGGGCTTCACAAGGTCTTGCAGGATGGGTTGGATTGTTGTACGCAGGACTGAATGGGTGGAAAGGTCATACCGGATAAGAGAAAGAATAAATAAAAACAAAGACATGCAGACTAGAATACATAGAGTGAAGTCAAGGAGCATTAGTGCAGTTTGACTGGATGTAGGAGGGAGTGATGGGTAAAGGAAGGTTCTGGAAAAGTAGCTGGAGAACAGTAGTGGCGGATGCAGCACCACACAAAGAAAACATCCGCAGTAGCTTCTCATGGCTGACTAGATCCGAGCCCCAAGGGGCACCTCAGGCAAGGGCCCTGGGCAAGCAGGAGGGAGAAGGTAGAAAGCTGGGAGGAGGAGAAAGGCAGTTGATATTTCAGGCCCTTGAGCTTTGGGAACATTTTTGAAAATACCATTTTTAAAAATCACCAGTTTTGCGCAGGTGTACAGTTTTTCTCAGTACAGCTATTCAGTTCCTGGCACTGAGTCTCTGAAGGAAACCACGGGAATAAATCTGCTGCTTCCTCCCCTCCCTTTTCTACCTGCCGCTAAGTCATGGAGAAAAGGACAGCACAGGGTACCTCAGCAGATCCTTTGCAGAAGGGCTCACCGTTCGCCTTCCTCCCAGCGCCGCCTCACGCACGCCTCACTTCCGGCCTCACCGCTGACTTCCGGCCTCACTGCTAACTTCCGGCCTCACCGCTGACTTCCGGCCTCACTGCTGACTTCCGGCCTCACCGCCGACTTCTGGCCTCACTGCCCACTTTCGGCCTCACTCCTCACTTCCGCCCTCACTCCTCACTTCCGGCCTCACTCCTCACTCCCGGGGCACCATTACAGCGATGGTATCCTCTCAGGGAAGTGCAGGAGTGTCTGACTAGCAGGTAGGTGTGAGCAAAGGCCTGGATCCGCGCTGGAGGGCCACCCTGGGCAAGGTCTCAGCTCTGCCCAGGTCCAGATGGCTGTCGAGGGGCAAAGGCATGCAAATACCGAGGAACCTCAGTTTCCAGGTCAAGTGGAGGTGACCCCTTGGGACTGTGTCCGACCCTCCAGAGCTGATCAGCCTCTCTCCTACCTTTCCTTCCTCCTTCCTTCCTTCTCTCTTTTTTCCTCCCCCTTCCCTTTCCCCTTCTCCCTCCCGGTGAGTGCACTCTGCAAGCCCACTTTATCCATCCATCCCTGACGTTTTTATAGCCAAGTCATTTTTAGAGACCCTGGAGAACCAGAGCCCTTGCTATTCCTTGCCTTAAAGAATAGTCGGGTTATCTTTAATATAAGATAGAAATCAAACCAAATTAGATTATTTTACCTCAGAAGCCAGTTTCAACCGATCCTTTTGAATAGCGCTACTCTATTATTATATATTACTGCAAACTTAATAGAAAAAATTGATTAAAATATGGGCCTTGTTCATATCTAGCCTGGCTGAATGCCACAAGACACATTAATTGAAAATGAATTTCCACAAAACCAATCAAGCATCATGAAGATGAAAAATGTACCTTTTCCCCGGTTCCTTCATTGATTTTTCATTTTCCCCACTCAGAGCTTCCTTTAGCAATTTCTCAGTTTCGTTTTGTTGTGGCCTTAATTCATTCTTTCCTCTTCCCCCACAAACGAGGTAATGGGCCCCGTCCCTCCTCCTCCGACTGTTCTTGCGTGCTGCATTAATGCAGGCAGATTAGGGTCTTTCATATTCTTCTCTGCATTATTTTCTCTTTTTAAAGAAATAAACTTCGTTATTTTCATTCTTACAGTTTTGTGATGGCTTCTATCAAGGAGAATGCCCTGTAAAAATACAATAACTATGAAATCAGCATTGCAAGACTTACAAAACAGAATTAAGGGAAATATACATATACTGTTATACATCAGTTACCATCTTTGTTTTTCAGTGTGATGTATGGGGCTCACACACAATTCCTGTTTCGGTGAGGGAAGTGCAGACAGCTGTTGCCAGATTACAGAGGGATCACCAGGTTGGGCTGGGCCACCGCCCTGACAGAGCCAGAGATGGCGGGAGTGGGGGTGGGGCAGCCAGGAAGCTTTGTACGTTCTCTGGTTTTTCTCTGCCCATCTGCCGGGTCCAGGGAGATCCAGCCCTCACTGAATTCTGAGGGGCTTTGCAAGTGGTAATGGGGATCGTTGAGCTACTTTCTTGTGAAAATTTTAAATATGATAACATGAATTTCCCCTAAAGAGGCTATAAGAGCTCGTAGTAAAGTGCCCCAGTACTTTACTTGGACCTAGAATTCGAACCTGGGTGGTGTCCTGCCGTTGAGGGACATTGACTGGCAGGTCCACCTCTCTGATCAGTGTTACTCTAGTGGGGAGCTAAATTCTTCTTCTTCAGCAATGCAATTCAGAGAAGGAAGTCTCTGTAGATAAGGGTCTACAAGGAAGAGTGGTAGAGCCAGTGCTGGGGACAGAGGTTTGGGGGACTCTGCTCATTAATGTGGGACTGGGCTTTGTGCCACGAGGCGGACACACTCACCCCACATCCCAATCTCAAGTACGCGTGCCTGTGGGCCTTCATGGGCTTTTCCTAAAATTAAGATGAGTGTAAAAGAAAACAAAACTCACAGACAAGCAAGCAGTGACGTCATTAGCTTGTGTAGTATGTGTCTTAAGAGCAGAATTCTTCTCCCTGCAGTAATGTGCACAGTTTGATCAACCGTGACTGTCGGGTGGGATTTGTGTGTCTTGATGAGCCTGGCAAAGGAGGACACGGTAGGCCGTGGCCCTTCTCGCTTGGTGTCCCCCACTGGTGTGTTACTGCACAGAGGTTGTGCAGGTTAACGCTTTCACTTTGGCAGACTGCTAAGTGCGCATAACGTGCTTTAAGCTTTTCTCCACCACCCCTCCCCCTGTCCACCCCCTAGTTTCACATTTGGGGATTCAGTATGTGTAATGTGTTCTGATCCTGTTCTTGCCCCTGAACCCAGCCCTACAGCCCTTCTCTCTGCCTTCTGTCCCCTTCCTCCTGGGGGCGGGCAGTGTGCGGGCCTGGCCGAGGAGAGTGAGCCGGCAAGCCCACCTTCTCAGCCCCACCGAAGCGTGTCACCTGTTTCACCTACAGCTGTTCCCTGCATGTTATCACTTCCCATCTGGGAGTGGTGGTGCACATCTGGGAGCCCAGCACTCTAGGAGGCTGAAGCAGGCTGGTGGCCAGGCTGAGGCCAGTCTGGAAAATGTAGCATGACCTTGTGCCAACATAAAAGAGAAAAAGTGTTGTGGGTGTTACTCAGTGGTAAAGGGCCCCTGGGCTTGATCTGATGCCAAAATCGCACAAAGAAAACAGAAGACACCGAAGTGCAATTTCTTAACAACCCACCCACCTGCTAATATTTAATGCCTATTCCCTGTGGTGTTTCTCCCGTTGTCTCTTCACAGCTCTGGTGGTCTGTACTGAGTGGGCCTCCGAAGTCTTGTATGATAGGGCACGCATGATCTGGCTCCAACTGTAGAGCCAAATCGTTCCTGACATCTAACACGGAGGGACCCTGACCCGCGTGTTCCTTGCCTGTGTTTGCAGAGGGAGCAGGGGATCCTAAGAGGCCGAAAAGTCTCACAACTTCCAGGGTTATGTACACTCAAAACTGGAACCTCACTGAGGGTTGGCACAAATTTGTTTCACCTGGTTGACAGAGCTCTATTTGAGACAAATGGGGAGGAACCTGTTCCGTGTAGCAGTCTGTTGCTAAGCAGTCCATAAAACTGGGTTGTGCGCTGGGCTGTGCATACTCACCAGGGTGGGTTCTCTCCC